TGTCGCTTGCCCTTCCTGGTAAATCCACATTTGTAGTTAACACTTTATTTTTCAGGAAATGGAGGCCTGCTGCTCAGAAACTAAGATGGGGTGATAAACCCCTGTGACCTATATTCTTGCAGTGGAGTGCTTATACTCTTGTTTATCTGTCATTGTTTCTTATTGTAGAAGAAATAGTTTCATCTATGCTCATAGCTGGCTTTGACTCCAAGCACGTGCATTCCCAGCAGAATGGCGATTACAAAACAAAAATGATTTGGTTGTGCAGGGAATGATCTGCAGCAACTAGGTCAGGCAGTGGCTTCCACGAGCCATGTTATGATTGGTTGCTGTTAATTTATTTTCAATGAAAATAGCATTGTCAATAGCATGGCATTCACAAGAGCTGAGGCTGAGATGTTCAAGGTAAGCAGTGTCCTACCCAAGCCTCTCTAATGCTCTCTCAATTCATGAAAAGTTAAGTTCCGCATTTTGCTGCTCCATTTTCCTAACTTTTCCTTTAAAAGAAAAATTGTTCTTTTTTTTCTTGGTTTTTGGTGTTTTAGTTCCTCCGGGAGTGATACAAAATGGAGCTCGAGTTCTGAGTAGAGGAATATTTCCTGGAGCCAGGCCATTGCCAATCAACCCCATTGGAAGCATGGCTGTTGCAGTAAGGTAAGAGTGGCTCATAGAAGGAACTTTATGAAATAAATCCATGTTTGCGGAGAATGTAAATGTATATGTAAGCTGTGGTCATCAGATACTTTGCTGCTTGCTAATACTTCTGAGGTTCTAAATGAAATAGAAGTCTGCCACCTAAAATTCTTGGGTTATTGTTCTTCGCAAGATAGTCATGGTGTGTCTGTCTCTTACACTCTGGTTTGTAAAAAGCAGTTTTATTTTCACCAGGAAATTGCAGGTCGTTTGCAGTAAGAACCGCCTACAGTGGCCTGTTTTTCTAAGTGCAAATGCTTTTCCCTGCTCCTCCCTCCCTTTTCCTAAAGACCTTTTCCTGGATTAAATACCAGTGAGAATAATATCAATAATATTAAAGCAAATTCTGAAAGATATCTGAACATATCACTGTCCTTTTGTTATTAACTTAGGTCTTTGTGAAGCAATTTCTTTCACTACAGTTTCTATTTCAAGGTTATACTCAAACATTCAAGGGTAAAATGCTTTTTGATGGTAACTTTCCAGAAAGCAGGGTAGTAAGAGACATCTAGTGATGGCAATAAGAACTGTGGTTCAGTAGTTTGCTTTACTTAGAGCAGTGATGGTTTATTGGTGGAAGAACAATTCACCTCAGGTGTAGCTCTATTTTCAGTCAGTCACAAAAGATTAATTTAGTCAAGTGTGCTGCCAGTGCCCTTCTCCTTCAGAACTCTCAGTATCTGCAAAACCTATTTCAGCTCAGGCAGTTGAGTATTCTGAGTGGGGTTTCATAATTAAAATGGACCACTCCTTGCTGGGCTGCTGCAGTTATACCCTCTGATCTCAGTAAATGGCTGCAAGACAGTGAAGTAAAGTATCCGGATAGTTACTTATTCCATTATTATTTACTTGGCTTTCCCCACCCCCCCTCCATTTGCGCCTTTTTTTTTTTTTTTTAATCCCTTTTGAGAATCTGTGTCTAGCCCTTTGGGTGCACTATTTCCATCCAATAAATGGAGAGAGAAAGAACCTATGACATACTCTTAATGCTTAAAATGCATAGAGGGGAAGACACTAACTAGAATAAAATCCATATATTTTGATGGGCAGCTGCTTCAGCTGTTTTTCGCATTTGCTATGCTGAAGGGATGCATCCCTGAGGGTCATCCTCCAGAAGTCTGCAGAGTTCCTCTCCATCTTGCTTTACCACAGTCTGGCCTTGCAGTGGAGCAGTGGAGGTCAACCATCTTCAGGAGCTTTGCCACTGGCTTTAGCCAGGACTTGTATCTGCTCAGGGGGGATTGCAGAGCTGTGGGACTACTGGATCGTTAATTATATGTATTTTTTATGAGGTGTCCAAGCTCAGCAGAGGACACAGTGGTCTGAATATTCACTCTTGAGTTTGCATTTCTTGTTAGACCCTGTTTCATAATCAGGGTTGACTCAAGGAGGAGATAGAATTGTTTTTCCTTCCAGATCATTTGAAAATTTCCTTGTGTAGAAATCCTCAAATTACTCTGCTGTAAGGCTACATACTTAAATTTTACGTGTTTTCTGAGGAATACAACTCATGTTTTTTCCCAGCAGGCAGAACAGGATCTTTACTAGATACTCACTAATGTAGATTTGGGAAATTAGGGATTTTACCCCTCCCTTGCTTATGTTCTTTTTGCTCTGTCTCAGAGAAGAGCATTTATAATTAGTTAACGCAGACATTTCTAATTCTTTTTGTTCTCTTCACCAGCCTTAGGCAGTATTAGAAATAGCATGCTATGAATATATTCCTGGTCTGCATGATGTCTGCTCATATTTAAGGGTTCCTGCAAATATCTCCTCTTCTAATTCTTGAAAAGGCAGGGCGAGGAGAAGAGGCTTTGAAAGCTTTTGAGAAGTTAGGAGACTCTGCAATAGAGCAAGTTCAGCAGACAGTTTTGTTTCCCTTGGAGATAATAAAATCCAGCATTTCTTTAGGAAGAAGGTCAGTCTGGATGCACGATGCCTCTTAGAACATCATTTGATCCTCTCAAAACTGGATACTTCAGTTACCAGTTACTTTTAAAACGACACCCTGTTTCTTGGTGCTTACCCCTCTCCTCAGATACACAGGGCTCAATAGCACCTATGGTGTTGAGCTTTCACGGCATCTCATGAGAGTAACTTCTGCTTATTGTGTGCAGCGGGGGGAATTTACCACAGCATCTGTGCAGCCTTCTACTGTTGCAGTTAGGAGTACTGCTCACACGGAGCTATCATTCCTGCATAGAGAAAGATACTCCGGTCAGGGTCACAGGGGGTGTTTTCAGACCTGTTCAGGTGCAGGAAGGTTGATTTCCCCATCCAGCTTTCACCAGGAGGGAGGTCTGCTGGGCAGCCACAGGAGGTGGTGCAGTCTCCTTTTGTAGTTAGCTGCAGAATATGTGCCTCTGCCTATACGTTGAGAAGCCAGACAGCTTCTTTTCAAGAAGTTTTCACTCAAATGTATATTTTCTTGAGTTCTTTTGATGCTCTAAATGAAAGGCCTAAAATCACCTAAAAAAGGTGGTTTTCTTAATTCATATGGGGGACCTCTAGTATTTTCTTGGTAGTGGCTCCTTGCATAATAAATTAAATGTCTTAACTGGTTTTCTTTAGGTACCATATGCAGGAGTTTGGGGTTCTGTTGGCATTTCCTCGCTGTCTGAGCTGTTTATTTCATTTTTTATTTATTTCCTCAGTATCTTAATGGTCTGTGGTGGTGGTGTCCCCCAGACTCCCTGTGAATAACTTGCAGAATGTTGTCCTGTTGTGCAGACTGACGTTAGCGTCAAAGCAGAGTAGCAAAAAGGTTGGTCTTGGGTTAAATTTCTAGTTGTAGTTAGGTGGAGTGTTTTGACTGATCTGTTACTTAGAAAGGAGGCCAAAACCATACCATTGAACTAAGTTGCTGAAATCTGTGATTTCTGGTGTATTACTTTCCATCACTTGGAAAGTTTACTGTGCATAGTTTACTGTGTATTCTTTAGCAGTGTGATTGAATATATTTAGCCTATTTTGTTTCTGCACAAGGTATCTATGTGTTGCTGTTCTCATGTAATTTACATGTAATTATTTATTATATATAAAGTATAATTAAATTAAGTAGTTCGGATTAAAAACGCTGCAGAAAAGTATTTAACAAACATGACGAATCCACCACTTCCCATGAATAAAGAATAGCAATTGAGGAGAGCGTCATTACGTTGTAGTGCATTTGGCTTAAATTGCACAAATAGGCCTTTCATTCCAAACTAATCTACAAATGGAAAAGGCATCCCACACTATTTTTGCTTCGAAAATCATCCTCTGGTGTTAAATCTCCACAGTAGAGCATAATTGGATGTGTTTTGACAGTAGCTTTTTATTTACTTTATTCACACCACTTTCAGCATGTTTACCATCCATATTTTCCATGTTGTGGCTGACAAGTCTAAGACCCACCCAAAGACAGCAGGGGAAGATAACGCTTCAAAGCTGCACAGTGTGTAGCATGTCTCTTAACATGAGATCCATCATATATATTTTTGGCAGACTCTATCCCCATACAGTTCCCTGAGAGAATCTAAAAGCAAATGCAGTGATAGTCTGGATATGTAGAAGAGAAAATACTGACTTAGAAAGGTATGAATGAAAGCAAGCAAAGCCACTAGTGCACTACACACAGCAAGGAGTTGGTTGTGCTTTGAAGGTGAGCTCTTGCTCTTCCTATGTACATGACTGGAAATAAAACTTCTAACTTAGGAGGACATCTGTGTCTGCTTCAGTAGGTGTAGTCTCTGTCGAAGTCGCCAGTGCACCTGCCAATATGCATCTTGGCACGGTGCAAGAAGCTCTAACATACATGATCACGTTCCACATGAGTAAAGTGTTATCATTTACACCAGCCCTTTGAAAGAGCACAAGCTTGGAAGCTGATACAATATTAGAGCTCTTTGAACTACGATTTCTGTACATTCACCAGACATCCTCCACCATGATGTTTGGTAACATCCTTGGTAATTTTGTAGTAGGCCTTTTCTCCTTTTTCTCTGCCCATATGCTCATGGCTACAGAGGCTGCTGAACAGTGTTCAGATGTGCTCCCAAGGAATCCAGGGTTTATGAAGCTCTGGCCTTCCGTGCCTTTTGTACTGTGCTTCCCCTTTTTTTGTCTGCATTAAGATGCTGTTAGACCTGGCCAACAGGGCTTAATGGTCTATTCAGTGGTCTGTTGTGATGGGAAGGCAAAATGAAAACTGCATCCCATAACACTAGCCAGCAAATGTGCAAGATGAAGGTGAAAAAGAGGGGAGAAGAGTTTGCAGCTGCCTTGGTGGGAAACCTGAAGGAGGGGGTAAAACCTTTAGGATTTGAGAAACACTAAGCAGAGCCAGTCCCAGTAAAGATGCTTTGGCTGGTTTTACCATTCTCTTTGCTTTTCGATGTGTCAGAAAAGTCAGGATGAAGGATGCTGTAGAATGTAGTCATTGCTTAACTGCCTTTCTAGCACATCTTTCCCCAGAATGAATCCAAGCTATTGTTTCAGGCTAGTTGAAAATTTAGGCATAATCTCTTTATATGCCACGTATGCCCAGGTAATAGGTTAAATTGCTTTTGGTAGTGTTTGTTAGAAATACCTTTTTTATTTATTTTTTCTAATTATTGCAGGTTATAAATAAAAACTAATGGGAAATTACACAGGCTTTTCTCCTTTTTTTCAATTCTCCTTTCTAACCAAACATTTGTAGCTTTTCTGTCTTCATTTCTGGGATAGATGTAATTTTCTTCCTAGTAGCTGGTGCAGTGCTGTGTTTTGGCTTTAGTCTGAGAACAGTGCTGATAACACACCGATGTTTTAGTTGTTGCTCAGTAGCTCTTACCCTGATCAAAGACTTTTCAGTCTCTCATGCTCTGCCGGTGAGGAGGGGCACAAGAAGCTGGGAGAGAGCAGAGACAGGATGCCTGACCCAAAGTAGCCAAAGGGGTATTTCATACCACAGCACATCATGCCCAGTATATAAACTGGGGAGAGATGGCTGGGAACCACTGATTGCTGCTCGGGATGGCCTGGGCATTAGTCAGCAAGTGATGAACAATTGTTCTGTGCATCAGTGTTTTTCTGGCTGGGGTTAAACTATGACATTCTCAAGGAATTTCACAATTATTTGTAAACTTTGAACACAAGCTTCCAAGAGAATTTCCTGAAGTAAAAAAAATTTCCATTCAAGGTTCCAAGACAAAATTGTTCCCTATTCCTAGGGAAAGCAAGTACATCCTCACTGGCTACTGAATAAGGCTACTGCCATTCCTTTATTTTAGGGGGGAATCCTTTTATAAATTCTTAATTGTATATTCTTACCGTTCTTGCTTATTACTGGCATGATCAGCTTAACAAACCCCAAGTTATAGCATCATAGAATAGTTAGGGTTGGAAAGGACCTTAAGATCATCTAGTTCCAACCCCCCTGCCATGAGCAGGGACACCACACACTGAACTATGTCATACTTGTTGTATTGAATTCTCCTTCCCACCTGTAACAAGCAGGATGAGTTACCTTTGGGAGCTGAAGCAATCCTTCAGTAACTAAAGGACAAAAATACTAGCTAACTTGGTAATTCTTTTTTGCAAAATGCAGAGGGCTGCATTTGTCTTAACTTAGATCTGCTGTTGCTACTGACAAAGTGCTCTTTCTGCTGGCAGTTCAGGACTGGCATTTACTGTGATCCTTGGCATACAGTTTTGCAGTGAAGTACCTTTGTAAGGGCTCCTATCAACAGTGTGACCGACTTGTTACTGTTGACTTTTAACTCAGTAACTGCTTATAGAATCTCATCATACAGCAACTGAGCACCACTTACTTTTCAAATGCTTGCTCATCCTCTCCTCTGCTGGTATGTAGTGGTTTTAAGTAATAGTTCAACTACCTGTATGTAAAAGTTCTGATTGTCCTGAATTTCCCTTTGAAATCATTACCTATACGGTAAAAAGGAGTTACTCTTTTCTTTTCTTAGCAAACCTGGAACCTGTCAATCCACAAACCCAACTTACCTGTACTGCTTGCTTTGTATCATTTAACTGGGTGTTTCCAATTCCTTACCAAAACTGTCACCTATGAGTATACAATATCTGACATCCAGAAGGATCAGAGCTAGGTTAAGGTGATACTTAACATCCACATAGGTTTGCTTTGTTCATCAGTGAATGTACCTGTCTTTGGTGTGGAATACAGTAAGTATTTTTTAGCAAAACTTTCTGCCATTTAGCAAACAGAATGTGATTGCCTGTCTTTTTTTAATGCTAGTGAGAAATTTAAGGAAGATACATCTGCCCTTCTTAAAATAACTGAGATATACTTTCATATCATCCCGAGGAAGACCACTTTGATAAGCAGAGGTACTAACACTGTGCAGAGGGCATTATTTCCTTCCTGAGACTTGAGATCCAGCTGTTGTGAGTCCCATCTGATAACATTAGTAGAACTCCTATCCATTAACAATGGGAATGGAGTCTGGCTTTCAAAAGTTCAAACTTACCTCTGCAGAGCTTGGGAGTTGTGTCATTCTGCTGCAGCCAACTTGAAATATTTTAAGAAGAATCTGTGCATGGTACTTTTATGTCTAGAATTATGATTCAGATTATAATGAAGTGAACAAAGTGAATAAAAGAGTCCATGTCAGTAGGATGAAAAGTTCTAGAGACTGTCCTGTCTTAAAGGGCAAGCCACTGCTTTAGAACATGTAGAAATATGTCAGTTTCTGGAAACTGTGAAATAAAATTCTGGAAAAAAAAGATAATGGGAAAAAATAAGGTATTACTTGAAATAAATTTCCCCTCATTGTTATAGTAGCACAGAATTCTTAAATACCTTTTCTTCCCCTCTATTTCAAAATAGTCCAGACATCAGAGCAAGCGCTTGTTTTAAAAATCTATTACTGTTTCAGTAACAAAGTTACAGTTACAACCAGAACTGTGAGCAAGAATAGATTCAGCTGGCCAGAATGTGTCCACTGAAGCCCTGGGGGAGTTCTGTCCATTGATGATCTAGATTGAACTAAGTAGATCACATTCATTTCTTAGTGAGTACGTGACTGTATAAAAGCAATGGAAAGCTTTAGAATGTCTCAGAAGCGCATGCAGAATATGAGTGGTTTCAGTATTAGTTTATTCAACTCATTAATATAATAGCAATTATAAGTAATTTATCATATCTTATATTTGAGCTATTGCCTATCAGGATACAGATCAGATTAATTTCTTTTCAGGGGACATTACTTTCGATATTGTGAATATCCCAAAACACTCTGCCTGTATAACTTTTTCATTTCTGCAGATACCCTTTGCTAATTCTCTCCTTGACCTGCTTTCTCTTCCTTTTTTATTTCCCTAAGCAGAACTGGTTGGAAATCTTTCAAAATGTAAGTGAAAACCAAAGATTTTTTCTGAGATGCAAATGCTTTCCATTTCCTGACCAGTTCCACCATAGATGCCTTTCTCCTCAAGTGTAGTGGTACTCCCTTTCCTCCCATTTTTTTTTTTTTTTTTAAGTGATTTCTTTTTTTGCACCTTTCTGTGGACTTCTGTTTTCCTTCATTATCACCCCTCCTTGCAGTCACTCCCTGTGGGACGCTAACCCCACAGTAGTACACCTTCCCCCAGGACATTGCTTCTGTAATCCCCAGGCCTTTCATTGTATTTTTATGGTCTTTTGAAAGGATTGGGATTTGGAGTAAGTCCCACGGGCAGAGCTTTTGAATCCAAATTTTAGTCCCTTTATGTAAAAGCAAACACTAGAGACTCAAGAGCGGGGCAAATCAGGGATGTCTTTTTGGAACATGGTTGCTCTGCTCCATGGAACTGTAGCTTTCCTTTTATTGATGGTCTCAGTACAAACTAACAAACAGGAACAGATCTAGTAACATGAAAATAGGCATCTTGATTTACATCCCATCTGTCAGAAGCCTTGTTCACTAATAACTTAGTCAGTAGGAATCCCATTTGAGTTCCCACCTATTCTGTCCTGTTTGTTTCCTTGGAACAAGAATTTATTGCTATTTTTTTAGTGGAAAATTAGTAGAAAGTGATTTTTATTAAGCCACATTGCTCTATTAGCTGCCTAGTAAAATCAAGTAACTTTAATTTTATGCTAATTTATGATAATGTAAAGCATCTTTAAATGTAAATTTACCCTAAAAATGAAGAATCTGTCACTTAAAATGCATCCTATGCTTCCTTGTAATGACTGATCTTAAGGACTTGGTTATAAATTCACCTTACAACTAGTTTAGTATGGATGATTTCTTCTTTTAAGCATTTTGCATCCTCTAATGACAACCCCTGCAGTGGCAAACCATCACAGAGTAAATGCAGCTGGCTTGCTGCACAGTCATGAATGACATTGCATTTAGATATTAATAATTGAAGGATCTTTGTGTTTTCCTTCTGGGTTCTGTATATAATTTATGGATCATAAAGCTACTTGAAAACCTAGGGAGGGAAAAATTTTGTTGAGCAAAGAGGTTGGCAGGAGGCTTTCTTTGCTAATAACTAGGCCTTCTAATATATGAATTTTTTGAAAATACTGTAAATAAGAACATTTGGAATGGCTGATTAATTTGCTACCTTCTAGCATTGTCCTGTCACTGGTTCACAAGAGCCTGTTTCTTATTTCAGCAAGTTCTACAGACAAGAGCATTGAGATTTATAGGAACTGTGGAATTCTGTACCTCTCTTGTATTTTCCACCTTTCAGCCTTACCTTTCAGAAATGGGCAATACCATGCTGTTCCTTCTAGAAACCAGGTGTGAGGTCCATTCCGTTAAACCTAAAGCACTTTCTCATTTTCTAAGTGGCAGATCAGTATTACTCTGGACTTGCCAGTGTGCCATTCGTCTTAAGAAATATCTGTGTTCAGTGCATGTGTTTAAGAAAAGATTTTAATCCAGTACTGCCATTAGTGTGCAAAAGCACTCGAGTGACAGCATGAAGATGGCAAGACTAGATTTTAAAGCAGTTTATCATGTGAGAGTTTAAACAGTCTTGCCAGTTTATTGGGGGGTTTAACTGATAGAGGGTTTCAAGGCTGGTGAACTGGGAGTGGCAATGATGATGCCTTTATTCAATGATGAGCATCCTCCTCTCCTTTTTTTCTGCAGGAATTGAGCATTGCAAAGGGTGAGCCCCTTTAACAGACTTGCAAGCATCGTACTTCGTATTGTAAAGTCAGTGGCTCTAATACCTTCCAATGCAGAAAGGAACACTGTTAGGTTTTAAATATATCATGCTACAGTAGTTTGCACAGCACCGAGTGCTATAGAACCAAAGGGGAAAATGACAACATCTGAACAAAACCAGATACTTTTTTTTTCTGGTGTTTATTTTTAAAGACACTGCAGTGTTTTGTTGGCAGCTAGTGGCTTGATTATATTGCTTTTAAGATTGTTTATAAGATCAGAATCAGAACTGTGACTGGACCTGGGTTTTATGTTCAGTTGCTCCTTCCATTCGAAAGTGTCCTAAATGGAAGCTGTGCTACTTGCAGGTGAAACTTCACCTACCCTTGGAACACTAGAGCTGGAAAAGAGTCTTTGAGAGGAGGCAAAGTACTCCAGAAAGCTAGTTTTTCACCCCCACATTTTTGGTAATATCATTATATATGGAAAAGGGAAGAGGATTTTTATGCAACTCATCGGAGTTTATTTAATATCCAGTAAAAAAAATAATAGAGTTTTTTCTTTTAATTTTTTTGGAAGTGAAAACTATTAGTTGAAACATAAATGAGGACTGTTCAGACCTCATTTATTTGTAACCATCCCCTCCTTGCTTCTGCCTCTTGTGCCATTACATGTCTTTTGGCTTTTTTCACATGTGGAGCCAATCCTCAAGCAATTTGAGTCAGGCTTTGAAACCATCTTGCATGGACATTACTTTGATAGTCATCATTTTAGGTTATCTGTCAGTGGGATTTGTCATCTTTTGCGCTGAATCAGGATCACATCTCTCTGGCTTTTCAGACTGCTTTGATTTGTGTTTGCAGGAATGGAATAACCAACTGCCGGATGCGGACAGAAAGCGAACAATCCTGTGGCTCTCCAGTTGTTAGCGGTGACCCAAAGGAGGATCACAACTACAGCAGTGCCAAATCTTCCAACCACAGGAGCACATCACCTGCTAGTGACTCCGTTTCCTCTTCCTCTGCTGATGACCAGTATGAATTTGCAACTAAAGGTAGCCAAGACAGCAGTGAAAGAAGTGAAGTTAGCTTCCAGAGCCACGAGAGCCATAGCGAAACAGAAGAGGAGGACAAAAAGCAAAATCGGAAGGAGACCAAGGATTCTTTAGCTGACAGTGGGTATGCATCCCAGCACAAGAAAAGGCAACATTTAATGAAGGTGAAAAAAGTACCAAGTGACACACTGCCTCTTAAAAAGAGACGTACAGAAAAGCCCCCTGAGAGTGATGATGAGGAGATGAAAGAAGCAGCAGGATCCCTCCTGCATTTAGCAGGAATTCGATCCTGTTTGAACAACATCACCAATCGGACGGCAAAGGGGCAGAAAGAGCAAAAGGAAACCACAAAAAATTAGAACAAATAAATGATTTGTTTGAACTTACAAAGTTTTGTTTCATCACGTCAGGTGAATTCTAATGATTTGTGGCAATATCAGCAATTTTTTCCTTTTTTGTTTTTCTTTCTATTTGTTTTTGGTTTGTTTCTTTTTTTTTTCTTTCCTTTTTTTTTTTTTTTGTTTTTTTTGACCCTTAAGATTTTTATTTTTAAAGGAGATTGAAGCCATAGAACTCATACTGACACTCAGCTAATTTACAAAAGCTTTTCATAACCTGAAGACAAAAAGTTAACAAAAACAAAAGCCAGAATCACCATTGCTTTCTCCAGCTTGTCAAAAATGCATGGTTGAATACGCAGTGACATCAACAGTAATGTGATGGGAGTAAAATTGGGCACTTGGAAATCCCTCTTACGCTAGAAGAGCTGTGCATAATTTAGTAATCATTCAGGCCTGGCCCTTAAGAATTGTTTTTAATGGCCTTACGATTGGGTTAGAAGTGAATGTGAATAAAGAGATTTGGGGGAAGGAGGAGGCACGTACTTCTCAACACCAAGAACCATCTAGCGGCACTTGGATACGTTGTGCCATAGAAGTCTTTGGACGGCCACTGGTGGCAACTGCGCAACCGTAATGCACTTTTAGTGCTTCTCGTACTATATGTGGCTCATAATGTGAAGACTGATAACTTTAAGTTTGGGGGAAATTTGAACTCTGTATGCAATGGGTTTCAGTGAAATAACGAGAAGAAATGGGAGGGGGGGTCACTGTTAGTAGCATCGTTAATCATTGAGTTCTGTCTTCTATATTAAATTAAAGAATGTTCAAAAAGCCATAAGCCTGAAGATTGGCACTGCGTGCAAAAAATAATAGTAATAGGGAAAAACAAGCTATGTCTTCTAAACTGCCTGAGTAAAAAGCAATCAAGTCTAAGAAATTACAGTAGATACTAAGGAAGGAAATACATCAGAATCTGTTTCTGTGGATCAAATCCTTGATCTAACTGGGGAAACAAAGCTACAAAACCTGCCATTAGTAGTATTCTGTATTTAAAAATAAGAGGAAAGCATATTGGTGAACTGTAAAACTCAGAAGTTCAACAAAAGATCTCCTACACTGCCCTCGGAAATGAGCGCGCAGTTACTGTCAGTCAGGATTCATCTGTGCAAAAGTGACAACAGGTTTCCAGATCCAACCAGCGTAGCCAACAGAAGAAATTTGATCCACATTGCATGGATTCCTTTTGGGAGGGGGGAATACAAAAAGCAAACGATTTTTTTTATTCAAAGATGACAAAGTTCTTGTAAGGTAAATAATGTATTTAGCATGAAGCATGAATTATTTTCATATAAATATAGAAAATAGAGAAAAAGGCTATGCCTCTAATTTTTAAGCCCTTAGGCTTAGAGTTGGTTTTTTTGGGTTTTATTTTTTTGTTTTGGTTTGGTTTTGGTTCTTTTTTTCTTTTTTCTTTTTTTTTTTTTTGTTGTTGGGTTGTTTTATTTTTGAAGCAGGTGTTTAAGGTTTAACCTTCTTCAGGGACAAACACTGACTGTTGGGGAACTTACTCTGCAATATTAAAATCTTCATGCTCTGGTAGGGCTTGGATGGTTGAATTATACTGCCTTGTCTGCACATTCAGCCCCGCCCCCTACTTCTGTTTAACAAAAAAAAAGAAAAAAAAGAAAAAAAAAAAGTAAAATGTGTCCTTTCTTCGTCTGTACATGTGTAACATGACGCAATAATCTGAGGGCAAATTTAGTAGTGAGTGTGTATGACAGAATCAAGAGAATAATGGGAGGTTAAACGAGGAAAACTCTCTGATTTGATTCAGGAATAAATAGACAAGAAAATAGCTTTGCTAATTTGCCATGAGAAAATGAAGTTAGTGAAGAGCCTTATTGAGGTGTCCAGAGAATAACCAGTGTTACAGAGAGTGTGATTCAGGTATAGTGCTACTCTCCTGGTGATGACAACTATTAGATTGGAGATCCCTACAGCAGAGGGAAGCTGTGAAATAAATAAGATAGTCTCTCTCGCCCAGAATCATGAATTTAGCATGATAAATTCTACACGTAGAATATCCTAGAGGCAAGAAGAAAATCCCAGGAACCAACCACTTGACAGAACAACATGGTCTGTTTCTTAAAAAGAATGCACGTTTATATTTATCCGTAACAGCTGTTTCAGGCACCAGTTTCACCAAGATGGATCTGAGTTTATGAAGAGAGATTTAAAGAAGGGTTTGACTTTCCACTCAGGAGAGTGAACTAAAAATTGCGTTTGGAGATGCTTGTGGTGTGTGTTCAGTTAGGAGGTGGAAGGACTGAAGGAAGGCTGGCTGGACTTGTTCCTCTGCTCTGCAGGCATTTTGCCATGTAACAAACAGGGCCACACTAAGGGCATCACAGCAAAATGGTGCTTCTCTTTCATCTCACCCTGTGTGTCCTGGGATCTTCAGGAGCTGCCTGACAGCTGCTGGAGCCCAGCACAGCTGCCAACTATGCAGATAAGGAAGGAGAGAGACAGTGGTAGTGCAAGGAACAGCTCTGTGCCTGCCTCAGTTTGCTGGGACTGGGGCATGCGGGGTTGATTCCCAGCATTGCTTAAGTCAGGAGTACATGGATACTAACTTTTGTTGGCTGCCTGCATCCCTTAGAATAAAGTTGGTGGAAAACAGGAAGGACCAGTCCCTTGGCCAGGTAGCACAGAGATGAATGAGCCATAGCTTTTCTCGTATGTGATTGGACTGGGATAATTGGCTTCTGCCCAGATCCATGCTCCCCACAGCCAGAGTCCGCAGGCAGTGAACCACACAACCACTGCACAAGAAAACTGGTTCCTTCTTCTTTGTATGGACTTTGGGGAGAGTAATTTGAAACACAACATATTAGAGTATCAGTTTGCCACTACCTTTGCTCATTAATGCACAGTTGTACCAGCTCAGGGGTGGTTTAATACTTATCCAAAAGCAACATTGAAAAGTCAGATTTAGTGGCAGAAAACGCACTCGAACCATGGCTCAGCCATCTCTGTCCTCCAGAGAAAGCGGTGTGGTTGTGTGCCAGTGGCCAGATTCTGTCCACAGTCACGACACTAATTCCAGAGCAGCTTCACTGATTGCAGTGTGTCAGTGCAAATGAGATCCGTATCTGCTGAACAAGTACCATTCATTAATGTGGACTCTTGGTGGCTAAATATATCATTACCGCTAGTATTACTCACCTTAGAAAACAGTCATTTTGCATAAATACCTAATTAGGCAGATTATCTTTTTATATATATATATATATATATACACATGATCTAAGACTTCAGAAACTCCTTTATATACTTGCTGGTAAACCTAAAATATTGGCAAGCATCTATTTTCATGTAAAATTCGTTGCTCCTAGTCTGATCTGCTGAAGAGGTAGTATTCAGTAGCAGTTTACAAAGTTATGTTCTGGAACCAGCAGTTTGGCTGGGGGCTAATGCCATCCGCAGATTATTTCTGTCATTTAAAAACAACTTGTCCTTATTGACCCTTACTCTGACTGTTGATGAGAAGTACAGAATTTGGATTACATAAAATATTTAGGAGTCACCTTTTAAACCATTTGTGTGCCTGGCTGACAATGGCAGCTTTGTCAGAACAGTCAGGCAAGTTCTCTTCTAAGAATTGAGACTGATTTGTTTTCCAAAAAACATAGTGTCAGCCTTTCATTCCAGTTGTCTCTACTTTGACTGAATCATGTCAAAACGGAGTGGTAATTGCACTGTATTACGAACTCTCACTTGCCAGACATGAGGTGGTTTGGGTTTGCTTGTTTGCTTTCTTTACTAAGCCATTTTAGGGAGAGAAGTTGTCAGATCTCTAACTTTCCATTTTCCTCACTCTATCAGTATTGCCAAATTAGCATTTCTCCAAGACAGGTGGGGCTTGGGGAATCCCAGTAGGTCAGCAAGCATTCAGTGGTGAGTTTCAGTAGACGTGAGTTGTGAGGGTCGCTCGACTTCATGGTGGGTTCCTTTGGAATATGCCTTTTGCAGCAAGAAGTTCTTGCAGGCCAGAGCTAATGCCGCAAGCAGATTTCACCAGTGTCTGCAGGGAGGTGAAATCTGCTGGTTGTGCTCAATGTTCTGCAAGGAATTGGATGTCCTACTGCATTTTGATGCAGAGTCTGTCTGCATTTAAAAATTAAAGCACAGGTCTTGAGCAGCTTTAATGTATCACCCCGTAGCTGTTTCTGAAAGCAGTCTGATTCTGATCTTCTCCTGGCAAAACCAGCAGTAGTTCTGCCAAGATCACAGGGGTTTACAGCTGAAAAGCCTGATGTGGGAGCAAGAAGGTGTGCCGTGTAGAACTAGAGAACTCTTCCATGACTGTGTTCTCTTGGGCAATTCAGTTGAGGTCCATACTCTGGCTCCTCTCTTAGGTTAGCAGGAGAAGGAATCCCAAAGGAGGGGCATCAGCTCCCAGTGTTTGAATTACTGTCTACCTTTGGAAAAGATACAGAGTAACTGGGGGGGCTGCATTCTTCACTGGAGTGAGGTACAGTTACATTGACATGCTTTAGCATGAGAGAATGAAATTCTGTATTGTGCACCAAATGGCACCAGGGATAAAATGACCAAAACAACACTTTGTTGCAGTTTCTGGGTAGCTGTGATAGATTTTTCACTGAGATTGTGGCTTCCAAATTGTCTAAAGATGTAGAAAGGTGCAATCTGTGGTTTTCTAGAAGGTGAAGGTGTCTGATCTCCCTTGCCATCAGCAGAACTACAGACGCCCAAGTGCTCCTGGGAATCTTCACCATTTCACTATTATTGTTATTACTGGTTTTCCTTGAATCTGGCCCTTGGCATTCTTTAAAACGTTACTCTCCCATGCTCCAGGATCAGAATAAATCTACTGGGAGAATGCATTTGCAGCTTCAGCTGCAATGCAACTTACTTCACTCCATGGAGAACGCAAACCCAGCTCCTTCAGGTACATCGCTGCTGCCTGAATAGCTCATTGGCATATTTTACAGGAA